CACTGCAATGCATCCCAAAAAAAGGAAGATGGACTTATCCAAAAGAGAGTCTCTAAGAGAATCTGACAAAAAAATAAAAATAAATAAACCACATGCCAGTATCGGCAAACCTTCTCCCAGGCTCATGGCTGCAGGTTCAGGTTTCCATTTATGTAGCTAATGTTAGCTAGAGCCTTGAATAAAAGTGTGTTCTCCGCCAAACTCCCCGCCACTACAGGCCACCTCAGAGCTGCCCTGAAGAGAGCGGGCAGCAACTCCAGACACAGACCTCCAGTCAGCGACGAGAGCAAAAGAAAAAAATAAACTAAAATAATTTATTATTTCATTGATCAGAGGTTTGCTAAATCAATAATAATTCTACATCAATAAAATCAGATAACCAGTGGTAGAAATTTAGGATTAGGCTCCATTTGGCCTACCCTCTTCACTGTACAAGGTGTTTTGTTCTTTTCTTTGTCTGTTCTTTGTGTGTGTATAGGCCTAATGAAGTGTACTTGTATTTTTTGAGTAGCCCTTATTCATCAAAATCAGAAGAAGAAGCCCCGGCAGAGAAGAACCTGCCCTAGATGTACACCGTGACTGGGGTGCAGTTGCAACCAGTCAGGGCCTGTCAGTTTGGAAGTACAAGCATGCAGGGTAATGAAGAATTACTATATTATTGTAGCATGACATGTTTTTTTTTTTCTTTTTGTTGTTGTTGCTTTAAAAGTTGCATCTACAGCAATATATCAGTGACTGATTGCACCACCCACAGAGCACAGCAACCAACAGGAGCATGCTGTCCAGCTTAACTTGCTTAATGCTAACACACTCATGCAGTCAACTTTTACCTTCAGTGAGGTCTGGGAGGACTTAGTGTTTATCACATGTGACTGCAAAGCCTCTTTCAGCTCAACACGGTTGCAAATTTTAAGGCAGTGGTTTCCAGCTGGTGGGTTACAGTCCAAAAGTGGATCACAGGCCTATTCTGAATGGACCGCAAGTGACTTGCAAACATGTCAAGTTTCTTAAAAAAGAAAAAGTTTATTTTTAAATAGTCTACAGTGAATTTCCAGCAAATAGCTTTTATTATGACGAGCCAGTTTCTGCTGTAGAGTGACTAACTGACAGCTACTTGACGGTGACAGCAAACTAACTCAATGACATGGCCATACATAAGTATGACGTGGATTGTATAGAACAGTGTGGACCTTAAACTTATGACTTAGGAGAAATCTGGACCCCTGGCTGGACCCGTTGGGAACCACTGCTTTAAGAAGTGCGGTTGGACAGAGAGGCTGAGTGAACTGGTTAATGTTACCTCTTTCAGTGACAGCTCCAAACTGTAGTTGGGAACATGCTGGCTTATTTGCATTAATTTAGGTTGTTTTGTTATTAGATGGTAACTAGCTTCTAGCAGTGGGGGGGTGACACCAAAACCAAAACCAATGACTGAATTTGAAAAAAATCGTTATGCTGTTGTTCTAAAGCCTTTAAAGTTTAGAAACACGACACTGAAGGCTGCAAGTATTTTTATGTAAACTATTTACATGTCTTTTCTGTTTTTGGCTACTTTGTTAGGATATTGTCTTTTCAAAAAAGCTTTATTAGCCTGTTGTTGTCTTTTTGCAAACACTTCCACAAAATCATCTAGATTCATAGCCTAAGCTCTTCTCGACTCTACATTCAACAACCCCAAGAGGCTGAGATGGAGGATTTCCTTGCAGCTGACTGTTCATACTCTGCCCATGCCAGCATAGCATGAGTGTGATTCAGATTTAGCATGGCTTACTACTCCACGATCTTCGTAAGTAGCTTTTTTTTTTTTTTTTCAATTTTTGAAACCCTCATCGGACATAAATACAGAATCTCCTGAAGTGGGGAGACTGAAGTGGCAGACTGGGGTGGTGGTTCCCATTATCAACAAAGGGGACCGGAGGGTGTGCTCCAACTGTTGCAGTATCACACTGCTCAGCCTCCCGGGTAAAGTTTACTCCAGGGTGCTGGAAAGGAGGCTCCGACCAACTGTCTAACCTCAGATTCAGGAGGAGCAATGTGGATTCCGTCCTGGCCGTGGAACAGTGGACCAGCTCTTTACCCTTGCAAAGCTGCCAGAGGGGTCGTGGGAGTTTGCCCATCCAGTCGACATGTGCTTTGTGGACTTGGAAAAGGCAGACCAAGAACACGCTGCAGGGATTACATGTCTCATATGGCCTGGGAGTGCCTTGAGGTCCCCCGGGAGGAACTGGAAAGCATTGCTGGGGAGAGAGATGTCTGGGGTGCTTTGCTTGGCCTGCTGCCCCCGTGACGCAGCCTGCATGAGCAGTTAAAAATGGATGGATGGATGGATGGATGGATGGATGGATGGATGGATGGATGGACAATCCCTGCTGATGACAAGAGAGCCTCGTGCACCAGCAGTGTCCACCAAGGTCTGGGAAAGACCCCATGATGGTAGCCGCAGGTCTTGCACTTCCCTGAAAGGCCACTCTTCTCCAGGGTTTGTAGCCTCCTCTCTGCGTGGTTAAACATCTCCATCTTTACAGGCTGTTTGGTGACCTGCGAGGAATGCGGTGAAGCTGCAGTGGGCTGCTGTTCCCCAGAAATGACTTTAACTGTTCTCTGAAATGATGAACTACAGCACAGTTGAATTTTTCAGACATGTATTCTCTGATGGGCGTCATTGAACTCTTGTTGACCATTTCTTTCCACTGCTCCTATAATTTTTCAAAAACTTTGTGATGTACTGCTGGCAGAAAAGTCAAAGAAACAATTGTCTGCTTTCCCCGGTCCAAATGATCGCCACGCAGACCAAATGAAGTTTCTGCCAGGTTCACAAGTTTTTTTCGAGCAGATGTAATGCCCCTGCGGAGTGTGTTCTTATCCGTGTCTTTAACATGTGACAGAGTGTTGCTGATATCACTCTTGTTGAAAATGTCCCTCAGATTCCAGTTCAATCCATATATCCCCCCATGGAGGTTGTGGTGTGTATTCCTCAGGTTGGGTCCTCTACCAGAGGGCTGGGAGTTCGAGGGTTCTGCGCAGTGTCTTAGCTGTTCCTCAGGCTGCACTCCTCTGGACAGAGACCTCAGATGTTGTACCTGGAATCTGCTGGAGCCAATCTGGAGCCATTACATGTTTGATCTGATGATGGGTTGATTAAAAAGTCAGGGGTTCACCAAAATTACAGAAACATGAATGTCTGAACAAGATTTCATGGCAGTTTATCCAACAGTTGTTGACCTCATGGTGCCACCGAAAGGATAGGTTGAAGGCTATAACCAAACATCCAAAATTGGATAAAAGTAGATGAATGCCGTTTAAGACATACAGTAAAAGGATATGCACTAGAAAGTGTGAGTGTTTTGTCAGTGTTAATGTACACAGAGGTGCAGTATCAGAGGTTCCAGTACTTCCAGTGAGTGTCAGCCCAATTGCATACAGGTAAGATCACCCACGCTTTAAACTTGACATTCCAGTCTCTATATACACAATGAAACTTACCAAGGATTTATACTCAGCCAGCACACAGTTCTTATTCTAACATTCACAAACAGGAAAGGAGGAGGCAACAACTAAAATAAAACCTGCCCAAAGCAGGAACTGAAACACCATATTATATACAGAAAAACACTGACCTTATTAATCCTATCAAACAGCAGATTGTTTTCATTTTCATTCCTTACATTTCAGCCACAGGCTTGACGATCTGTGCAGATAAATTGTAGTCTGACTGCACCCACAGTTGCACCAAAACTGTGCACCACACAAGTTGAATACAAAAGAGACACAATAAACAGAATTGACAGTATTTCCTAAATTATAACAAGGAAAGGAGCACGATTTACTATAAACAAATAATTAAACTTCCTGTAAGAATCTGAGTTCAGCTGCCTGTCACGTTCATGTACACTTTTGAAACTGTGAACAGTTAACAGCGTCATCCCTTTGTTTCTTGCATGCCTCCTTTCGATTGCTCTGTTCACACAGGATGTGCTGCAGCCCCAAGCCTCGTTGCAGGATCACAATCTGCAGCAACAGTTTTAGTGTCTGGTCTATTTTTTCTACGAGTCACAAGTAAACCTGACAAGAAAACACACCAATAATGTGTTAGAAAGGCTACAAAGACTATATTAGATATAAGTGATCTGATTAGGACTTTTTTTTATGATACTATATTTTTGACACACTACACTATGGCATTTTTTGATATACTATACTTTTTTATGACATACTGTAGTATGACTTTTTTTGACCAACTACACCATGATGTTTGCTATGATGCACTATACTATATTTACTATATTTTTTGATATACTATACAATGACATTTTTATGGCATATTATACTATGACATTTTTTATGATGCGCTATACTATATTTTTTGGCAAAATGCACTATGTATTTTTTTAATAACCTACTATACTATGGCTTTTTTTTAAAAAAATTACTATACTTTGGCATTTTTTATTACATACATACATACATTTTCATGGCATACATACAGTATGAAATATTTATTTGTGATATTTCTATCACATACTATACTATATTTTTTGACATACTACACAATGGCACTTTTTATGGCACATTGTACTATGAAACTTTTTTGACATACTATACTATGATTTTTTTTGTAACACACTATGGGCTACTATGACACTTTTTATGATGTACCATATTATAGCATTTTTATGACATACTATACTATGACATTTTTTGACATACTACACTTAAAATTTTAACCACTTAACAGCGTCATCTTCTTGTTTCTTAAAATAACAGTGTCATTTGACAATACATGTTTTACCAGGTAATAACAATCTTTTATGAAGTGTTACTGCAGTGACACATAGCGTGACTCTCTGCCTCACGCCTTAAACCTGAAAACCAGGCTTCCGGCCTATGTAACGAAACTGAGCATGGTGACAACAGGAAAATGCAAAAGCACAAGTATTTAAATGCAGCCACACAGTGACAGCCTGTCTGTTTCTGATGTACTCTTCATCTCTAGAGCACACAAAACAGGAAAGCAGACTTAAAAAAACAGCAAAAAACAATTACCCCAAAGTAGGGGCTGGTTAACCCTGTTATCTACAGAAAATACATTTCTTGATAATAACGATCATTATTATCATAAATACTCATTACTTTTCTTAGAACTGTATTGAATTTTCTGTGGAGAACAAGCTTTGCCAGCCCCTACTTTGGGGGGGACATTACTGCCACAGACCAAGTCTGGTAAGTCACAACAATTTGGTACAAATTTTCTGTCTGTTTTTTTTTTTAAACCTTTATTTACATTGAAGTGTCAAACAATATTTAAAGCAACACAAACTTACTGAAAACTTGTGTTTTAATGTCCTCTCATTTCTCTCTCTAGTGTGCAAAGCATCTGGCCATGGAGGTAAGATAGTTTTTCAAAGGGTAAAATAATCAATAACACCAACACTGACATTTAAACAATTTCATAATGGTGTGTTGTTTGTTAATCAACATCAAGAGAGAACACTTTCAGCTACATCTGAAAACATAATTTAGAAGATAATTTATAATTATTTTCTCTCACTAAGCCGGACAGTAGCAGACAACAAATTCCAGACATGCTTGAGAGAGAGGAGAAGACTTCAACCACTTCCTCTGAGCTACAGCTCCAATCACCCCAAAGGTACACTCTTTGTATAAAGATGTATTTACTCAGTGTAAACTGGTCCTCATAAAATGGGTCAAGTAAATGTAAAAAGACAGCTTTTAGGTCAAATGAGTCAAATATATTCAACTTTACTGTTTTCCTCAACTGACTTCTACATTTATTATATGACAGTTAAGTGACTTGCCACGTCATGACATGTTACCACTTCTTAATGTTTGACAGTTTATTCTCATCTATCTTTGTCTGCAGATCTCCAAAGAAATTGTTCCTTCGGCCCCGCTCCTCTAAACCGGACAAAGTCTCCCATCCTCCTCCATGGTAGGTGCTGATGTTATACATTTACTCCATTACATGTACCTCAGTATTTTTTTTTTTTTTTTTTTTAAAAACATTTTAGGAGCAGCCTACTTGTTTTACATACAAGTAGCCTCTCTTTCTCTCTATGACATCATACAACTTCCTTATTTGCTGTCATAGTTGCCACGGCTGCAGAGCACTTTGTCACGACAGTAAACGTTGCTGATGCAAATGATTATGTTATTTTCTTGTGAAGACAGTCTCCCTTGCCTGTAAATGGAACTCCATTATATTGAGCAGTATTGTTGTGCTTTGTTCCCATTTGCAACAAGAAGAGAGAAAATAAATATATTTTAATCTAACACGCCACCATTAGGTACACTTAACAGAGTTAAATTAGTCATTAACCATCTAAAGCTCTATGTATGTGGCACATGGGAACTCTTCCAGCTTAGCAGTTAAATGATAACAATGGTAACAATAATAATAATAATAATAATAATAATAATAATAATATTTTAGGAATGATTTTGTCCTGTGAAAAATATTAAAGTCAAACTTTTTTACTCTCCAGGGAAGAAGACCTGCAGCCAGAGGATCATCCCTGTAGCCCGACAAAGAAGATTCTTAACTTGGAATCTCATGAATTTCAAAACAATGATTTTATTGAAAATGTTCAGTTCCAAAATATAACTAAGGACAAAAATCTAAATTTACACCCCATTGTAAATCCTGAAAAAGTGACATTCAGTACTCAGTCAGTGAAAGACAGTTTTGAAAAACAAACAAATATTTCTGACAAAACTGAACTTTTTACTAAAATGAAATCACATTTGACTTTAGACAAAGAGTCAAGTATTGACATAATGCCTCACGATGAACTCATGAAGTCTGTCCTTGCATATTACCACGCTAAACACCAAAGACAGGAAAAGCAATATGCATTTGCTGTTGCTTATTTGAAAAATGGTTATTGGATCATTTTTCCCACAGTTTATCCAGACCATTCAAAGAGGGGCGGACGGTCTGCTGTTCCCACTAAAAAACACAGTGAGGAAAAATTAATTCAACAGATTGACGATTTCTTAAAAAAAAATGGAACCCAAGTGATAAAACTTTTGGTGTTTTCTTATAACAGCCCATGTTTGAGGAGAGAGAACAATGCCATCTGCTGTATGTTTCTACTTTCACAGAAAGCTGTTCAGTGGCACAATATGTATGGATTTTTTACCAAAGTGGCGTTTACAAAACCTTGGGGACTAACTGGTCCAAATTTTTTTAAGCGTCTCACTTATTCTGACATCTCAGATCCGGGGAGTGTTTTTTTTTCATATATTGAAAAATGCAAGAACACGCCTTTCAAAGTCAATCAAAAAAAATTAAATGAAGTGAGAAATTTTTTTAGAAAACTAAGTAGTCTTACCAAATCCACTTTTCACAAACTGAATCAGCCAAAAACTTCATGTCACAATAAAAAAGACCATTTGGAGCGTGGAATTACAATTATTAAATCTGAATTTCCCCCTGAGGTCAGAGAAGAAAACATCACATTACTCAATCAATCAATCACACAGTGGGAGGATTTTATCAACGATGAATCAATGTCACCAATAAGAGAAAAAATAACCACGGATTTCAACAATGCAGTAGTTCAGCTTTTTGTAAAAGAGCTAAAGTTTTTTGGGGGGGACAGCAGCCCTCTAAAGCTTTATCAGGTCCCACAGAACATGGAGGGGGAGGGAGAATATGTTCAACAGATTAGAGAGCTTTTTAATCCGCCATCACTGCCTCACAGCAAGAGGGTTCCTGTTTCGATTCCGGGTGTGGGAGCCCTTCTGTGCGGAGTTTGCATGTACTCCCTGTGTCAGTGTGAGTTTTCTCCGGGTACTCCAGCTTCCTCCCACAGTCCAAAGACATGCTGGTTAATTGGTGACTCTAAATTGTCCGTGAGTGTGAATGGCCTCTATGTGGATAAGCAACAGCAAATGGATGGATGGATAGATTACATTTTTGAATAACTTAAAAACATGGATCATTACTTTTTGTACTTACACAAAAGTTTTGATCTTAAATAATGACTTAAAAAATACAGTTTTAACAATCTTAATGTGGGTACCAATTGTAATTAGAATACTAATTATTATTGTAACTCAAGCATATATTTTGTCTGGATCTTTGTTGTCTGCTCTGTCCTGAGTTTCTGGCAATAAAACCTTTACATTGAAGCTGTTTGTGTTTTATTTCATCATCATCAACAAAATGTATCTGCCTGTGGTTAAACCATCAAAGCTCTCTGGCTCCTGTTTCAGAAAGTGTGTTCAGTGATACCTCTCTTTCTATAAAGTTTCCCTCATCTCAGGATTAACTAACTCAGACTCTGGGACAGTTTCTGTGGTAACTGACTCCTCCGTGAACCAAACCTGCTCCCTGACAGGGTTTCTTCAACAAACCCTGAGTTTCTTTCAAGCAGCGTTCAGAAAAAAACCCTCATCAGCTGCTTAAGTGTCTTCTTGGTCCTCTATTATTTTTATTGTTGTGTTTTTAAATTTATTTTAACAAGGACCTTTTCAGCACTGTTTTGTCAGTGTTAATGTACATACATTTACATGTGTTTCTTAAATAATTTTAACCCTTTAATGCCATTTTGGGAATATTAACCCACATGTTTTAAATACACAACATATGACATATTTACCATATACTCAGCTGCTATTTTCAGTTTCATTCAATATATTCTGAGTTTATACAGAGTTTACTATATTTACTATATTTTTTGACACACTATACTATGACATTGTTTGACATACTGAACTATGACATTTTTTGACAAAACTCCACTTTTAAAATTGTAACCACTTAATGGCGTCGTCTTATTGTTTCTTAAAATAACAGTGTCATTTGACAATACATGTTTTACCAGGTAATAACAATCTTTTATGAAGTGTTACTGCAGTGACACATAGCGTGACTCTCTGCCTCACGCCTTAAACCTGAAAACCAGGCTTCCGGCCTATGAAACAAAACTGAGCATGGTGACAACAGGAAAATGCAAAAGCACAAGTATTTAAAAGCAGCCACACAGTGACAGCCTGTCTGTTTCTGATGTACTCTTCATCTCTAGAGCACACAAAACAGGAAAGGAGAAAGCAAAATAAAAAAACAGCAAAAAAACAAACAAAAAACACACACCCCAAAGTAAGGTTAATCCTGTTATCGACAGAAAAAACATAAATACTCATTACTATATTTCCAACTATGCAGGGGCGTGTTCAGACATTTTTGATAGGGGTGGCCCCAGTGGGGCAATGACTTTTGCAGGGGTGGCATGAAGTGTGAGCAGGAGCGCCTGTGCACACACATACACTCACATATTGCGCAAACGCAAACACACACCCACACACACACAGGTGTTGGCATAGCATTAATTTACCATTTTTGTCTCCACAACCCATATCTACTTCAATTACTAACACTGCAAGAAAACATAGACTTAAAAAAACCCCACAACCTTCCAAGATACGCTATATATACAAAAGAAGACAATGCACAATCAAACATATGGTCACTGTATAGCCACTGTAGTGTAGCCTAAGTGAAATATCCCAGTCCAAATCAATGCACATAATGCACGCTGAGGGTCTTTCATCTTCACCATCCACATGTGACTCTATAATAATACATACGCTGTGGTTAGAATTATAATAAAATCTGTCGTTTCCTAATTAACATTCCTTAGTATGTAGTAGTATGCAATAGTAAACTAAGTGGTATGTTAGTCAATCCAGATAACCTAAATGAATTTAAGACTATTGCACCTTAACACATATAATAGACAAGTTTCTAAATTACCACAATATCATTGGTATTAGGGCAAGTGAGTTCATAAATTAAATAATAAGTTCAAACATGAGAAAAATATGGAACTATTCATTTAGAAATCAGTTTTAGACAGTACTGAGCACCAATTGCAGTATAAGAGTGATAAATTGTGACAGATTTTGCAGTTCAACAGCCACATTTTAAGTGGTGATATGTCCGATTTCCACATAGCACTGTGAACGCAGCGTAGTGTCCGCTTTGCTTGTGATGATGGCGTCCGGTCGCTCGGGTCAATCTGCTGGAGCCCATACATCAGTGTTGTGGTTATCACTCTTGTTGAAAATGTCCCTCAGATTCTTAGGATCCGGTTTGAAAGGGACGTCCTCGCATTTCACAATATATGAATGAAAAGGACTGTCGGGACATGAGATGGTAGAATAGTTGAGATATTTAAAATAATTTGGACCACTTAGTCCCCAAAACTTTGTAAATGCCACATCAGTACAAACGTCATAATGCTGACGCCATTCATGGGCTTTGTGTAAAAGCTGAAACATACAAGGGACAATTTGGTCTCCCCTTTTTAAACACGGGCTATTAAGTGTATAAATCAAAATGTGTTTCACCATGGTCCCATTGTGCTGTAGATAATCATCCAGTTGCTTGATTACAATCTCTTCACTGTGTGTTGCTGCTCTGATGGTCGGTCTGCTTTGGTCTGCTTTGGTGCGCAGGGCACCAGACTCTTTCTTCTGGTTCTGAAATTCTGGATGAACTGCCGCAAAATCCTTTCTGCTGTTGTCCTTCAAGAGGACCATGGCATATGCAAATTGTTTGTCTCTTTCAGGTTCTCTTCTCTTGAAATCTTTGATATGCCATTGCCGTACTGTATCAGAACACACAGCATCATTACCATCTTGCTCTCCCTTAGATGGAAGCAGTGCCATCAAGCGATTGTACATTTCTGTTTTGTCACAGCAGTTTGTCGTTTCTTCCCAACTGTCAGTTAACAACTGAATCCTCTTGGTCACATCTGAACAATCCAGATTTGCTGTGAAATTGGCACAAGAGTTTGCAATTTTTGAATGTCCAACCTCTTCCAAGCCTCGATTTTCTCCAGGATTCATGTCTTGTTTTTTTATACGTTGGTCCAGCTGTAAACTTTGACTTCCCTTCATTTGTTGTATCACTGTATGATTTACTCTCATTGTTAATATCTTGAATCTTGACATTCATTTCAGAGATGAAACAAGTTATCTTCGGGTGGCTCAGTCTGTTGGTGTGACCACACGCTGTATTTTATGAGTGTGTAACTTTGCTGATCTACTGAACTCTGATCACAGCACCTTAGTGGAGTTGTCATGGTCCAGGCTGGAGGGAATGTCCTTGCCGTCGCTGATTTTCCATGCCAAGGCTTCTGCTGTTGATAAGGGCACTTCACAGTTTAATAGTTGTGTTTTTACAAATGGAGACAGTAATTTGAGGGTCAGCAATGTATTGATGGGGTGAAGAATTCTGAGGTAGATAGAGATGAAGGGTTGTTGGGGAAGATTTACAGTTAAGTATATAGACTTTCTTGTTATCTTCAAGAAGTGACTGTGTTTTGTACATATCGGTGGTTAGACGGCACTTTTCCGGCAGCCAGGCTGGAACTCTCAACCCTCTTATTGCAAGGCGGAAGCGTTATCCACTGAACTAGGAGTGCTGGCCAGTTGCGCAATCATTTCTACGCCTTAAATACCTTCCACTCAACTCTGTTGGATGTTGGATTACAGTGAGCCGGTTGTTTCCCAGAATGTTGAAAAATCTTTACATCTACATCAGAAGTCACTCATAGGTGGACCACGGTCCAGGTCGGACATAGACGCCGTCCAATCCGGACCCCAATCTATAACCAATAAATGATTGAGTATTGCTAAACTTTGATGAAGCATTATTATTTTAACTGCCGCAGCCTTTCTGGCCTTTACGCCAACAGGTTTAGCTGCTCAGGAAACTCACAGACCAATTGCATGCATTGTAAATTGTTTCACATGATGCTCCTCAGCCAGTCAAATCTCTGCATTCTGTGAGTGAGTCAGTGACCCCTTTTTTTAATTCAGGATCAGGAAGTGAGACTCACACACGGGAGCCAGACGCCACAAAAGCCGGAGAATTAAGTGAGTGGCAGGAAACAATTTTCCAAAAAGAAAAGTAGTCACTTAGAGCTTTTAATCAAGAAGGGACAGGCTCTAACATGTTCATTCTTCCCACAGGCAGTTCAAACTCCCCCAGACTCTTGACGGGCTTCATGGTGACCTGAGAGGAATACGGTGAAGCTGCAGGCAGCTACTGTTGCCCAGAAATCACTTTAAGCTGTTCTCTGAAAAGATGTACTACAGCACTGTTGACTTCTTCAGCTCTCTGATGGGTGTCATTGAACTGTTGTTGACAGGGGGAAATGTGCAAACCCTTTATCATAGCACTCTGTGCACTCCTGCGCCCTTTGAGTCTTGTTCCCAGTTTACAGAAACAGTTTGTCCTGCATGTACACATTGTGTGTTGCTGTTGATTGGTGCTTAATTAAATGTATTTAAATACGCATCTGTTTGTCTACCTACTTGTGTTTACATGATAATTATTTCAATATTTTTACCTATCTTCATTCAGCTGTATGGCTATTTCTGTCTTCCTGAAAACTGATCTTGGAATAAATACAGTGAGAGCCATTAAAAACCAGAGACAAATTCCTTGTATACGTACACAGAGGTGGCCAGTTAAGCTGATTCTGGTTCTAAGTAGGTGGTGCATGTCAGTTCAGGGTGTGCAATCAGGAGAGAAGCAGAGTAGACTTAAAACTGTTGGTCACAGTTAAGAGGTTGAGAAACTTCTGGGTGCCACCAAGAGTAGGAAGAAGGTGAACCACCAGACTTCCTCTGTGCCATGGAGACTTGGATGAACATACTGTATTTGAAAGTGTTTTTGAAATAATGGAGCACAGACAAATATCCTTTACAGTTGAAACCTTAATTTACAATATGGTTTAGGGACACAAGCTTTGTCAGGTGCTCATGTGTCTTTATTTGGCCTGGAGATGTGATACAATTCTTGTCCTGATTCAAGAGGGAAAGCTGCTCTCGTTTTCCAGACCTTTGCCATAGCGAGGATCCCTGTGCCTCAGGCTTCCTCGTCTGCCTTCTCCCCTGGCCTGAGGAAGCTGATTAAGCGAGGGCCTTTGGCTCGGAGCTTGGTGTTCTTTGGCTGCCTCTCTTTCTGCCATCCCTCCATTGGCTGGTCCAGGACCTGATCAGGCAGCCATCTAAATCTCCCGTCTGTCAGGCTTGTTTGGCAATAAACCAAGGCTCTACTACAGCCCGAACATATCAAGGATGCCACAAACAGTTTGCAGGGGGTAACATCAGTCTATTTTATTGTTAAACAAAAGCACAAAATAAGACTTACAACTTAAGGAAGGAAACAAAAAGGGGTTGGAGATCCCAGCCAAAAGAAACAAAAGATGGGGAATCGCCGGGCCAGCCACACACTGGGCCGTCGCACCCAGCTCATCCCCCTAAACCTCCCAAACTGAAGCTAAACTAACAAAACAAAATCCGAAAAATGAGACTACCAGAAACCTCCAACCCAAACTAAAATAACAAATCCAATTAACAAAACCCAGCTCAGCTCCTTGAACCGTGTTGTCAACTGATCACAGCCGGACAGACCTGGTAAACCCAAATGTGTATTGAGGGTGAAATGGAAACGTCTGGCTGAGGCCCCTGTCCGTGAGGTCTTCAACTCCCACCTCCGGAAGAATTTCTCGTGCATGCCGGGGGAGGTTGGGGACATGGAATCCGACTGGTCTGTGTTCAAAGCCTCCATTGTGGAGGCGGCTGCTAGGAACTGCGGTCAGAAGCTTGTTGGTGCCTGTCGTGGCGGCAACCTTAGAACCCGCTGGTGGACATCAGCGGTGAGGGAGCCGTCAGGCTGAAGAGGGAGACCTTTCGGTGTCTGGCTGGCCCAGGGGTCTCCTGAAGCAGCAGACAGGTACCGGATGGCCAGAGGGGCTGCAGCTGTGGCGGTCACTGAAGCAAAAACCCAGGTGTAGGAGGAGTTCGAAGAGGCTATGGAGAAGGACTTTTGGTTGGCCTCAAGACAGTTTTGGCACACTGTTAGACGCCTCAGGAAGGGAAGGCAGGGATTGTCTCAGGCTGTGCTCAGCAGAGAAGGAGAACTGCTGACCCCAATTGGGGACATCGTCCAGCGGTGGAAGGAGCACTTTGAGGAACTCCTGAACCGGGCCGTCACGTCCACTGTGGAGAAAATGGATGGATGGATGGATGGATGGATGGATGGATGGACAGTCTCTGCTGATGACAAGAGAGCCTCAGGTACCAGCAGTGTCCACCAAGGTCTGGGAAAGACTCCATGATGGTAGTCGCAGGTCTTGCACTTCCCTGAAAGGCCACTCTTCTCCAGGGCTCGTAGCTGCCTCTCTGCGTGGTTAAACATCTCCATCACACTTGTCATTCAGTTGGGCTCTATACCACCTCCCCAGTCTCTTTACAGGCTGTTTGGTGACCTGCGAGGAATGCGGTGAAGCTGCAGTGGGCTGCTGTTCCCCAGAAATGACTTTAATTGTTCTCTGAAATGATGAACTACAGCACAGTTGAATTCTTCAGTGATGTATTCTCTGATGGGTGTCATCGAACTCTTGTCGACCATTTCTTTCCACTGCTCCTTTAATTTTTCACAAACTTTGTGCTGTACTGCTGGCAGAAAAGTCAAAGAATCAATCGTCTGCTTTCCCCGGTCCAAATGATCGCCACGCAGACCAAATGAAGTTTCTGCCAGGTTCACAAGTTTTTTTCGAGCAGATGTAATGCCCCTGCGGAGTGTGTTCTTATCCGTGTCTTTAACATGTGACAGAGTGTTGCTGATATCACTCTTGTTGAAAATGTCCCTCAGATTCTTAGGATCCGGTGTGAAAGGGACGTCCTCGCATTTCACAATATGTGAATAAAAAGGACTGTCGGGACATGAGATGGTAGAATAGTTGAGATATTTAAAATAATTTGGACCACTTAGTCCCCAAAACTTTGTAAATGCCACATCAGTACAAACGTCATAATGCTGACGCCATTCATGGGCTTTGTGTAAAAGCTGAAACATACAAGGGACAATTTGGTCTCCCCTTTTTAAACACGGGCTATTAAGTGTATAAATCAAAATGTGTTTCACCATGGTCCCATTGTGCTGTAGATAATCATCCAGTTGCTTGATTAGGATCTCTTCACTTCTCTTCAAGTGCATGGTCTGTTAAATGCACACCTTCAAGCAGGTGGCCCTGTTGAATGGAGATTAAAAAAACACTGCAGGTTGACACACCCAGGTAAGCCAAGTCAAGCCAAGCCAGCATACGTGTATGGAAAATTCCTATGAATCATCTGCACTGCACTTTGCCACTTAAGACGCAGTCATAGCAACATTCAGAAAAAAACCCTCATCAGCTGCTTAAGTGTCTTCTTGGTCCTCTGTTGTTTTTATTGTTGTGTTTTTATTTAATCCAACAAGGACATTTTCAGCACTGTTTTGTCAGTGTTAATGTACACAGAGGTGCAGTATCAGAGGTTCCAGTACTTCCAGTGAGTGTCAGCCCAATTGCATACAGGTAAGATCACCCACGCTTTAAACTTGACATTCCAGTCTCTATATACACAATGAAACTTACCAAGGATTTATACTCAGCCAGCACACAGTTCTTTTTCTAACATTCACAAACAGGAAAGGAGGAGGCAACAACTAAAATAAAACCTGCCCAAAGCAGGAACTGAAACACCATATTATATACAGAAAAACACTGACCTTATTAATCCTATCAAACAGCAGATTGTTTTCATTTTCATTCCTTACATTTCAGCCACAGGCTTGAAGATCTGTGCAGATAAATTGTAGTGTGACTGCACCCACAGCTGCACCAAAACTGTGCACCACACAAGTGGAATACAAAAGAGACAAAATAAACGGATTTGACAATATTTCCTAAATTATAACAAGAAAAGGAGCACGATTTACTATAAACAAACAATTGGAAGTGTAGTGTCACCAAACTCACTCCACACTTCATTGGTCTCCTACAGACTCCACTACAACACTTGGTTTGAAAGTGAAGACCAGTGAAGTGTGGAGTGAGTTTGGTGACACTACACTGTATTGTAGTGACGTTATTGTATATTTTTGTAATATCTCTTTTCGGTGTTGCACTTTGTAGACGGTCCCTGCGCGCTGCGCTCACAGCCGGCTGCACTTAAACACCAATGTTCTTGGTATGGCTCAGAGGACGGCTCATTTTGATGAATTATATGTTGTAGCTCGATGTCTATCTTACTATGATTGAAAATATGCGTGTTTTGTGTTTTAACAACGTTTCACTGACGTGAACGTTATTGATCCCGGAAGTTCGAATCTGCCAATCTCTGCCCCACACATTAAACCTGAAAACCCAGCTTTTCGGCCTGTGCAAAGAAACTGGGCGTGGTGACAACAGAAAATTGCGAAATGATTTCAGAGCAAGTAGGCTATTTAAACGCAGCCGCACAGTGACAGCCTGTCTTTTTCTGATGTACTCTTCCTCTCTAGAGCACACAAAACAGGAAAGGAGAAGACAAGACTTAGAAAAAACAGAAAAAATACCCCCCAAAGTAGAGGCTGGTTAATCCTGTTATCTACAGAAAATACATTTCTTGATACTTAGAACTGTACTGAATTTTCTGTGGAGAACAAGCTTTGCCAGCCCCTGCTTTGGGGGGACATTACTGCCGCAGACCAAGTCTGGTAAGTCACAACAATTTGGTACAAATTTTCTAAATTAAAATTTAAACCTTTATTTACATTGAAGTGTCAAACAATATTTAAAGCAACACATACTTACTGAAAACTTGTGTCTTAATATCCTCTCAATTCTCTCTCTAGTGTGCAAAGCATCTGACCATGGAGGTAAGATAGTTTTTCAAAGGGTAAAATAATCAATAACACCAACATTAACATTTAAACAATTTCATAATGGTGTGTTGTTTGTTAATC